TATTCTATTCTATTCTATTCTATTCTATTCTATTCTATTCTATTCTATTCTATTCTATTCTATTCTATTCACACATACATCAAAAAGTTAACTTCACTAACTCGTCATCCCCTAAAAAATGTTTCATTAAAACTTTTAATTGGGAAAGTTAATTTTGGTATCTATATATTCCCTCATTAGGCTACTTTTTGACACGAACATTAGCAGCTAAGCTAACCCCACGGCTAACCCGGCTGAACGATTGTAACCCCTGCTCAACTCTCGCGATACTACGAGGCGGAAGCCGTGCAGCGAGCCTGTAGAGTAGAGAGAACGATAGTTTAGGACGGCGGGAGGGGTGAACAGTTTGTTTTGACAATAAACCGGTAAGCAGAAACTCCTGCTGGTTTGTCTTCGAACCAAACGGAGGTTTTACGTTTCGGTAGATATCTATTTTTTTTAAATTAAATGTTGTGTAATTTCCAGCACTTGCGTAAAGTCCTCCTCCAGCCGGCGAATCGCATCAGTTCGCCCGGAGGGTCATCGTCAGCAGCGGCGACACCCTCGGTGCCGTCAGCCTCGACCGTTTAGAAAATGACCGGAGAGAAGATCCGCTCCCTGCGTAAGGACCAGAGGCCGAGCAAGGACGAGGACTTACTGGAGCCGGACGAAGAAGCCGCCACCGGGACGTTCGCCGCCTCCAACAAGGCGAACAACAAGAGCAGGGCGAGTAAAATCTTCAGCAACCACAAGTTAATCAAGTCGCCATCCACGCAGCAACAACAACAACAACAACAGCAGAACCAACAATCGCAGTTTAATGCTAACACAAACACACTGTCAACATCGGAAGTTATCGATGACAACAACAAAAACCCCATCATCCAAACTGAGCTGGACTTCCCGGTGCATGAGTGTGTGTTCAGAGGAGACGTCCGGCGCCTGTCTTCGCTCATCCGGACACAGAACATCGCCCAGAAAGACATCCATGGTGAGTTCAGCAGCTGCTCCTCACACCAGCCCCGAGCCCAGGATCCAGATCAAATCAGTTACAGTAGGATCTGACTATTTCAAGCTCCACTGAAGCTCWGTTTCAGCTAATAAGGCCACCAGGCTCTGTCAGCAGAGTGAAAGTAGGCGAGGCTGTGCCCTGACAGGCCTGGCTGCTTAACTCATGTCTAAATGGAGTTTTATTGAACCAATAAAGCCTCAAATCCAGTTACTTCAAGCCAGAATAGCAGGAAATCATCAGGTTATTAGTCACCAAAGCCTTCTGAGATTAGTCATATTTAAAAACAACTAAGGATAAGTTATCACCCTGCTGTTATAATAAGGCACGCCATATAAAACTCAGCTCCTCTGCAGGGCGAAGTCTGCTCAGATAACATCACAGTTTCCAAATAAAACCCCTCCTGGACYGCCAAAACGACAGGACGGTCTGGTTCCGGCTCTCATGTCGGAATAAAAGCTGGTCTACACCGTCACACTGGAATGTGACGGTGTAGTTTCAACCTGTTGTAGGTTGTTCTGGTTCACTTGCTTTTTGGGTGTTATTTAAATCCATCGTAGTGGTTAGCAGCTAAAGAGCTTACATTTTTATAAGGTGTCACCAAAAATACAAATAGTATAAAGGTTTAAAAGATATCAAAATGTGAATTAAATACATTAAATTAAATTTTAAATCAGAGAAACGGTTATTGTGGTTAAAATTCTCA